AATATGGTTTATCAAAAGTCCGGGCGTCGATCGAGATGATCGTCTGCTAAAAGATCGCATTGCACCCCTGAGAAAAGCACTTCAGGCGATCGGTTCAGATCCCGAATTTTTTTTTTTGTGGACTCGCGCTATTGGAGGGTGTTTCGTACCTGGTTGTAACCATTGCGTGAAGAAAGATTTTTGCGGTTTCTTCAGATTTCCGCATGACCCCAAAGCGCGAAAGTACTGAATAAAAAACATAAGGTGAGTTTATTACAGGTTGTACTCGCATCGCGGGTTCGATGGAGATCTTCGGCAAAAGAGCACGTCCACGGAATTTTATGTATACCAAGGGGGAAAAAAGCAAAATACTGCGAAATCGCGATAGACATGCAATTCTTTAATAACCTGACAACCTCAATAATAATAAACAACTTACCTCGACGGCGTAGGTTTTGTTTCTCATGCTGGCCTGCACTACGCCGGCAATACACTTCAGGTCGTCGTCGTAACTGATCTATATGACGTGGTTTGATTTTACGGCATTTTTACCCCTCTGAACTAAGCTGAGTTCTTCACAGAAAAAAACGCACATTGCAGAGGCCTCTACGGCCATGGCGCTGCACTTGTTTTTGTCGCTCGTTTACCGACGCAATTCAATGAAGACGCCCGCTGCAACACAGAGGCCAGCAAATCTATCGTGTCGTCTGCTACCAAAGCAAAGCGGAGTGTAATACTTCAGAAATGGCTTTCACCGTTGCAATACGACGCTGAGACGACAATAGCATCTCCATAAACAGATATCAAGGGCCGCTTACAAAAAATTATTTACTTGTAAGCAAAAATCTAGCCTCATGTGGAGCCTCCATGCATTAGCCCATAGCAACGCCCCTAGCAACAGTTTGTTTGGACCCAGAGGCCATGTTGTGACGTAGTTACTTACGGGGCCAATGGAGCGCGGGAGCGCGCACCGAACGTTGTACCGCCGATCATTGCTGTTTCGTGATAATTGCTGTTTCAGCTAACATTTTGTAACTGAATTGATCTTAATATTGATATTTTGAAGTGGTGAAGCTGAATCGATTTTCTCATTTCCGCCGCCGGGTCTGGCGGAAATGTTTTTGGCGTCGTCCACAACGATGAAATATAATGTGAACAAGGACGCGCAAAATAAGAATATTGCAGGGAACGATCGATAGCGGCTCACTCCAACTCGAAGATGTTTTAAACGTTTTATTTGAGGATCCTGTCGACGAGTGTGTCTTTTGTCGAGAACTAAAAACAGCAAAGTCGAGATGGGCCTACTGCCGAACCGAGTAGATCAATGATTCAACGATTCGAAATCGATGCATGAGCATGTTTCAACTTTCAGCAACAGAAATTGAAGGTTTCTTTCCAGCTACATTATGTACTAATTTTGAAAATAAGAAGAATCTAGTCGGCGTCGTGACGGTCAACATAGGTTCACGGTAGGGTGCCTACGCAACGGAAACATGTAGGCACCTATAGTTCACGGCTTTCTGATATCGCGCAGTATATAGATTGCAATTCCGGAAAACTGACAGAACTAACTTTTCGACGATTCCCAGCGACACCCGGCGGCGGAAATGAGCCTTCAACTAAGTGTTGTAGATGATAAAATCGAGTCAGTTTCACCACTTCAAAATATCAATATTAACATGAATTCAATTACACAAAGTTACAAGCAGAAATAGCGATTATCACGAGAAAACTCGCTCGCACCTTGCGAGCGTACCCCATGTTCATCGGCGGTACAGCGTTCGGTGCGCGCTACAGTCACAAAAGATTCAGAGCACAGTCGAGAGGATGGCGTTGGAGAAGTTTTTTTTCGGTTTACGGACGCAACCCAGCGCCGCCGAAGATCGGGGTACGCTCGCAAGGTTTTAATCTCTTGAAACTCCATCGAAAGCGATGGAGTTTAAAGACATGGCAGTCAGTCACGCTTTCTGTCGTTATTCGTGCAATGGTGTCCCGATGACCGGGGGACTGTCGCCATCGGAACCCGTGGCTCGAATTAGGTTTGGGAGTTAAATACAGAGAAGAAAGCGCGAACGATGTTCGGGCAACGCATGCCCCCAACACCGGCGAAGCCTTTCATCCGGGACTCCCTCTCTTTCTGACGCACCAGCAAGGGGGAAAGCTCCGGTAGCCCTTTCCCCGTTTTTCTCTCGCCCTCTTTCAGTAAAACGGACTGTATGGCAATTTCCCAACTAAGTTGTCCTAGTAACGTTGAATAAAGCTTGGGTTTCGGCTAGTGTTTTTCACTATTTTTGTTCCGCGCTGCTAATGTTTACAAACGTAACGTTGACCCGGACCAACATTTCTTTCCTCACACGAACCGATGACGTCGCACCACTAGTCGCGTGCACTACAAGCGAAGGCTCTGCTAGGCGAGGGGAGAAAGAGCAAGCACTAGAAAGGCTGGGGCAGAGAGAAACCTCCTCTCTTCTCTAACGTTCCTAGTGCTCTCCCTTTTCTCCCCTCGCCCTCCAGTGTCCTCCTCTCCCGTTCCGGTGACAGGTCAACACCTCCTTGAGCGCTCTGCTCGTGACGTCGCGAAGGAAGGCCATCGGGGGCGCGCTTCGAAGCGAAGGAAACGCGCGTGGATCGACCGTCGTAACGTGCTTTTAGTCCCATACGCGGGTCTTATTAGCTAAAATGACTGCTGCACATAGCAACGGGTCTCGAAAATATTTTATTACACGGACAAAATATTACACCGCTAAATAATCGCTATGAAATGGTACGAGGTAGGCGTATAAGAGAAAACATTGAGTCACGCAGTTATTGCTGTAGGAGTGCATATTTTACGCAGAAATACTTTGACAAAATGGCGAGACACGCTGTGATGGGACACAGGAAAACAGATCACAGTTAAAAATCAGGTAGACGTAGTCAACGCGGACACGGCTAGACAAATGTCACTTACGATCATGTAAGCAATGTTATCGCGTGCAGAGAGTCAATTCTTGCTTCATGCCCCAGCCACATGGCAAAAGTAATGTAATTTCGATCGAATGACATTATGGGGTTCAGCGGAGCGAACGGTGGTGAGGAGGCGACCTCCTCTCCACCGTTCGCTGTTGGTTGGCTCCGCTGAAGTGGAAAGGGCTGGGAGGAGCCTTCCACTTCGTCGGAGTATACACCTTTCCTACGTGGGCGCCGCCATCTTCAATTCTGGAGCTTGCGGTATGTGTGAAAACATCGCTTTCTTCTCGCCTCGACAGTAGAACGTGTTAACATTTTAATTGCAACCGTCAGTCGTTCTCTTGCTTTTTTTTTTTTTTTCGGAACGCGAGGCTAAACGAAAAAGGTGTATAAACACGTTACTGTTGCTCAAAAAGGCTGGAAACAGAGGGCGAGTGGTGCCATCTGCGAACAAGTCCTTCGTTGGATCACGCCAGAGCGCTTGCTTCCTACGCGCGCAGCTGGTTCGCGCCAGCATCACCTGACCCGCCGAGAAGGGACATACCCAAATGCATTGCGGCTGTTTGCCACTTTTGCGGTTGATTTTTCTTGGTCATACAGATAAACTGAAGAAGGAATGTGCTCCTGTGGATGGTTGAGCGCGTTTATATCGTAATCTGTTCTTCTATGGCACTCTGCGGGGTTTGTAATTGACTATAAGCTCGGTTTTTTTTGTTTTTTTTTAGAGCGCAGTTCTTAGGGGCCCGTTTTCGGCTTGAGCGGCGTCGCCGTCGGCGTAACCAAGGTCATCCCAAGGTCACGTGGCCCCCAAGGTCACGTGACCCCCAAGGTCACGTGACCCCTCCCCCAGGGTCACGTGACCCCCAAGGTCACGTGACACTCAAAGTCACGTGAACCCCCGAAGTCACGTGACACCCCCAGGTCACGTGACCCCCAGGGTCACGTGACCCCGCCGACGTCACGTGACCTCCCCGATGACGTCATCGGATCCGCATCGTCATCGTCATCATCACTGATGACGTCATCAGTGACGATGACGATCCGGATGCCGGTGAGGTCATCAGTGACGTCACTGATGACGTCATCAGTGACGATGCGGATGCCGGTGACGTCATCAGTGACGTCACTGATGACGTCATCAGTGATGATGACGATGCGGATGCCGGTGAGGTCATCAGTGACGTCACTGATGACGTCATCAGTGACGATGCGGATGCCGGTGACGTCATCAGTGACGATGACGTCACCGGGGAGGTCACGTGACCTCGGCGGGGGTCACGTGACCCTGGGGGTGGTCACGTGACCTGGGGGGGTCACGTGACTTCGGGGGGCATCCGCATCGTCATCGTCATCATCACAGATGACGTCATCAGTGATGATTACGATGACGATGCTAATGCCGGTGACGTCATCTGTGACGATGACGTCATCGGGGAGGTCACGTGACCTCGGCGGGGGTCACGTGACCCTGGGGGTGGTCACGTGACCTGGGGGTGTCACGTGACTTCGGGGGGGGCATCCGCATCGTCATCGTCATCATCACAGATGACGTCATCTGTGACGTTACTGATGACGTCATCGGAGTCCGCATCGTCATCGTCACTGATCATCAGTGACGTCACTGATGACATCATCGGCATCGTCACGTGACCCCCCCCCCCCAAGGTCATGTGACCCCCCCAGGTCACTTCACCCCCCCCAGTACCCTTCGCTCCTCCTCAAGAGCTGCGCTCTAATTCGGTGTTAGAGGGAGTTGTAAACGGCTTTCACTTTTTTTCTATCACTTTTTCCTTGTTATATGGCGATTTTACAGTGAAGCTGTATGGTTCCATGCATTTTTTGGTACCCGTGTGCAAAAACAGAAGCCAGAAATTGCATGTAAAAGCGCGCCATTCTATGGAAATGCATATACGCCCCGTCACCTCGATGTGCATTTTGATAAGGAAAGACGTCGAAACGTGTGATAATGGGGTTACATCCTTGAACAATGGGCCTTCTCCCGCTCGAGTCGGGTGACGTCACTGCTTTTCATATATAAAAGCAGCAACTGCCGAACAGAGCCTTCCATTGTGTTCTGCAGTTGCTATGGGAAGGCCACGTATAGGTAGGACTCCCGACGAACAACGTGCTTATGACGAGCGGCGGAGGGAACAGAGACGACAATGTAATCGGCGGCGGCGGGCGGCAAACACCACCGAAGATCGCGCACGAGATGCCGAGCGCAAGCGGCGAGCTATGCAAGATGACGAACGTCGCCAAGCGCACAATGCAGCAAAACGTCGCAAGTACCATGCCGGTAAATTGGAGAACTTTAAAGGAGCAAACGGCTAAATTCAAAAGGGCCTTTCTGGACAGACATTTTGGATTTAGTAGAGTATATGCGACAGACTGTGGTACACTCTTTTGAATCGGGGTGGTCACATCTTGAAAAGTGTACCACATGTTGTTAAAAAACATATATACTATATATCTTCAATAATAATGTAAATACGACATGCTAGAAAAAAAAAATAAGAACAAGCGGCCGCTCGGCAGCACTATTTAGCCGTTCGTGCATGTGGAGCATTGGGCCTGGACATCCGGGCCAACGTTTATTCTTCTGCCGGCAGGGCAGACGCAAGCCCACGAGGTGACCGTCGAGCGGTAGACATATTGCAGGCTTACCGCTGCAGAGCCGACAACACGTCCACTCATGTCGATGTCAAGTCACAAACAATATTGCGTCATCGCGCGACCAAAACCATCGTTACTAGATTAGGTCAAACTGCCCATAGACGCTGCTTGCATGAGCAGCATCACAGCTCGCCTCCTGTCGTTCCACGCGCCACCGTTCTTGGGGGATGGCCAGGATGGCTGTGTGCAATGGCTGCTACGGTAACTGTAATATATTTCATAGAGGCGCTGTGCCGAAAAAGCGGACGGCTGCCTGTGGCGCTGCAGTCGGCAGCTGGAGGAGAAAATGGATGCATCGGTTGCTTTCTCCAGCCGTCGGGGGCTCTCGGCGGACGCCGCTTGTCCAAAAGATTAGATCTGCTGATCACTCCAGAGCATTACCTGCTAAAGTGATGGCGTTTTATGTTGCCACTAGGCTGCATTTCTTTGTTATACTTCGTTTCAGCTTCGGTCCAGGCGCAGCCGATGCTACAAGCGCGAGCATGTGGTCCAGAACAGTGCTTGCACTGCATGAGCGCGCGTGCTTGGCAGGGATGCTGAAAGTCCGGAGCTCGCGCTTGTAGCTTTGGCTGCGTCTGGACCGAAGCTGAAACGAAGTATAGGTCACTGAATCGTGCCAGAGTACTGAGGCATGAAGCGGCAAAATAGCTGAAGCTCAATCAGTCGATCCGCATAGCTTTTTCGCCCAGTTTTGTCATCAGAAGTATCTGTTACTTTCAGTACCTTCAGCAGATTCTACTTTTGTAATTATGCCATGCCCTTCCGTGCTCTGCGAGTAATTGTATTATTTCCCTAAATGCTTCCATGTGAGCTTCTTTATTCTGTGTGTGTGTATCGTCATGGTGTTAGCCTGATGTAACGTTGTTTTCTCACTTCGTTCGGTTTTATACGATACATAAAGTCGTATGCAGCTCAATATGTGCATAGTTTCAAACTTCTTTTTTTTTTGGTGCATGCAATGCAGAGTTGTGAAACTGTCGGAACTCCCCCCCCCCCCCCCCCCCCCCCATTTATTTGGTCGTGTTCTTAGCGGCGTTCATTTCTTAGTAATATATATATTTTTTTTTTCTTGGTCAGTGATTTAGTATTTGTAAGTATTTGTGGAAAAAGATCAGGATATATTTTTCATCAAATAAATCGGATTTTTTTTTATTTGAATCAAACTTACGTTAATGAAATCTCTTCAGCTAGAAACATGGTGACTTTTTATCACTAAATGTGTGGGTATGTGTGTTTTGTATGGCTGTCTGGTACAGATATTTATTGTTTGATCCTTGTTTACTTGAAATACAAAATAAATACCCCTGGGAAGAACACTGATAGGCAAACGGTTAATAAAAAAAAATGTTTTCAGTATTCTTGTGTTTTCGGTTGGAATGAATGATTTTAAATTGGGACTTTACTAATCGTATATCGTTTAGTTGGCCAAAACAAAGAGGCTAGAAAGTCAAAAGCCAGCTTTTCAGTGCGAACATTTGAAAATATAGCGGACTATTTTTTAAAACACCCGTCCTTGCCTCAAACAACAATGGGCTTCCCCTAGAATTGTCATAAATGCTTTCTTTGACAATAACTGTCTTGTTTAATCCATAGCTCTCCAGAGCCGTCTTTGTCCGCATTCCCTCTAGCCACCGGTCTCTTTCTGTGGCCTCAACTTTCTTCTTCACTGAGACCTGCTCTTCCGTATCTCCACTATAGCCTAAAAACTTTCCTCTTAATTTCCTAGTGCGCTGTCTCCACTTTGTGTCTACACTCCTCATGTATAAATAGCTGAATCCTTCGTGTCCATTGCTCCCCATCCATTCGCCTCAACCGATTCTCAAATTCTGTCTTACTCACAGCTTCCCTGCCCTCAAATGACGCCCATCTTATGTCTCCTTGTACTCCCTGGTTTGGCGTTTTGCAATGTGCCCCCAAAGCGAGCCTACCTACTCCGAGCTGTTTTATTTCTAGTCTCGCATGCACTTCGGATTTCATGCATAGCACTGCGTTTCCAAAAGTCAAGCCAGGCACCATGACCCCTTTCCGAATCTCTCTCACCACCTCATACCTGTTGTAATTCCAAAATGCTCTACTTTTCATTACAGCTGCATTTCTGTTGCCCTTACCTATTATATACTTTTCATGCTCACTGAGATATTCTGCACCACCACATATCCATACTCCTAGGTATACTTGTATTTACTAGCTCTCTCAACTGTAATATTCTCTATCTTCAGCCCCTCAACTTCATCCTCGTTAAAAATCATGACTGCTGATTTTTCGCTACTGAATTCTAAACCTAATTGTTCTCCTTTCCTACCACAAATGCTCATTAATTCCTGCAAATCTATCCTGTTGCTCGGGAAAACACCAGCGCCATGCACACAGCGGCATCCGCTTCGGAGGCTTCACGGAGGGCGCGCAGCATTTGTCATTACTCCCCTTCAACACTGTAACGGGAATGAGGGGGGTACCCCCCCTCATGGCCGAGATCCCGACCCTTTCTCAATAGGACCCGCCTCATTTGAGCCAGTTCTCATTTGAACATCGTATTTCAAACCAGTCGCCTAACGCTCTTTGAGCTTTAACCTTTCCTTATTTATGCCCTTCTCGGTTGAACCCGATCTCTTTTAAATCCTTATTGTTTGATGAAACCCCGTCTCAAAACATGTGTACTTGGCGTTTCAACCCGTATCGTTTAAACATATAGTTTGACAATGTGTGTGTCATCTTTTTAGAGTGCTCTTGGAATTTCAACCAGTCTCTTTTTCTGTGTTAATAAATGAGTAAAAATAATGGAGATGTTGATACTGTTCATAACAGTGCCGGCTACTCCATAGCAATTATTATTTGATAAAAAATTAACCAGATCTGAAACAAAACAAGCTCAAAAACAAACAAAGATCCCGCCAGAGTCGCCATTGTATATATTATTACAATTCAAACATGTTCGTCAATCCATTTTCGTGGTCTACCCGTGCCCGTGTGCACCGATGCGAAAACTTAATGTCATGTTCCACACCAAGGCTAACTGGCGATCGCTTAGGCAACATCACAAAGCAGCGGCTGCGGCGTGTCTCTCGCTCTACTGTGCACCTCGTCGCTGACAAAGCGTTGCCGCCACCACTCAAGAGTCAAGAGCATCACCAGCAGGGAGCGGCCAACGGTCCTGTGCCCACCACCGCATGGATCGTTTTCACCCTTTTGCATAGGATCCATTGCGCTCGAAATATGGTCACAGAAATCTTTTGTCCATACCGTCACGTTTGAAGCGACTCGCAAAGCATTGTGTCATTGAAACCGTATGGCCAATCGTTAGGCTGCTGAACGGCTCCTCACGAGACGTATAGTAGAAAACATTTTTCTGCCGCATAATCAGTCATCGCTCCTGAATGCGATCACATGCTCGGTGAAGCTTTGTTCCCACGAGCATTATCAACGCAGGAAATTACCTATAATTGGTTAAACTATTTAAGATGACCGCAGCAACAAAACACCGAAAAATGCCCTCGCCCTCCTCAGAAAGTCACAAAGAAAGATCCTGCCATTAACATACTGGCCCTGCGTTTTTTTGTTTTGTTTTTTTAATGTGCGGGTGCAATGTTGCGCGCACGTGGCTTGAGGGCTTTGTTACCAGGCACAACTTTTTTTCTTCATTTCAGTCGGGAATCATCGGATGCAAATTATGCTCATCTGGCATGCCCTGTGAGGATATTGAATTATTTACAACCGGTGTCGGAGTGGTCGTACGTCTACGATCATTGTATACTTCCCTATTTGTCGTCCGTCATGCAGTGGATTGGCATGCACTCTCTAGATGTCATTCTCCAAGAAGCATTCCAAGGCGTAATAAAGCTTCAGGTGCCTGGACTTCATAATGTCATTGCTTCCTTAATTTCGGTTTTCCGCGAGTATGCTGAAATTATTGCTTTTGCCTAGCCTGATAATGTACACGGTTAAAATGAGAAAAGTCTTTTTGAGAATGGTCAAAACCAGAAAGTATGTTTTGAGAAAGTTTGGATGAAGAAGGGTTAAAATGAGAAAAGTCATTTTGAGAATGGACCAAACCCCGAGGTTTGTTTTGAGAACGGTTTAAGTGAGAAAGGGAGAAAAGCGAAACTTTTTTTGCGCTGGGTTGAAATGAGAAGGTGAAAACGAGAAGGTAGAAATGCGAAGGGGTTCAATTGAGAACCACCCAATCTTAATCTAGTAACGTTGGCCCGGACCAACGTTTCTTTTTTACATACAAAACAATGACGTCGCACAAACAAACAAAAAAAAGCATACTAGACATATTACTGTTGCTCAAAAAGGCTGGTAACAGAGGGCGAGTGGTGCCACCTGCGAACAAGTCCTAACTAGAATAGTCACTTTCGTTGGATCACGCCACAGCGCCGCGCGCAGCTGGTCGCGCCAGAATCACCTGACCCGCTAAGAAAGGGACAAGTGCATTGCGGCTGACTGCCACTTTTGTGGTTAACTTTTCCTTGGCCATAGAGATAAACTCGGGAAGAAATGTGCTCTTGTGGATGGTAGAGCGCTTTTATTATGTCGTAATGTGCTCTGCCATGTCATTTTTGCGGGGTTTGTGGTTAACTATAAACTCGGGTCTTTCTTTTTCTCTCTCCCTCTTCTTGGGATCCTTGAAGAGAGTGTGACGGAGTGCCACGACAATCGTTACGAAATGTGTCACGCATACTTCAGGGCACAATCCTGCACAAAAGAGTGGTAAATTGAGACGAATAAAAAAATATATTCTCATCGCGCTTCAACCTACGACCCCATTATAGTGAGCTCGACATCCTACCACTGCGCCAATCAGTGGGTAGATGTGAAGCTAGCTGACTTTGTGTAAATGTTTGAGCGCCAAATGTTGGACGCTAGCGTTCGGCGTTCAAACAGTTTATAATCTAAGACATGCCCACCGTCGCATAGAATAGGACAAAGTTTGGAATAAAATAACATGCTGACCAAAAAAAAAAAAAAGTACTGCAATGTCCATACTTAGTGACTCTAGTCAGTCACAAACCCCGAATGATGCTGCGGATACACCTTCTGGGTATACCAACTTTATCTGTAGGACCAAGGTATGAAGCATTTTTTATATTTTTTCATGACATTATTTCCCCCACAGATCTTTTTAATCTATTCCATGTCGTAAAATCAAGCACTATGGTTATGAATAGTCACACAGCTGCCTACAGTCTCACACGCTTCCGGGCCTTGGCGAGCAAAGTAATTATCTTTCAGTTTTGTCTCCCGTGCGTACAGTGGTAGAGTGTCGGGCTCACAACCTTGGAATCCATGGGTTCTTCTCGTTAAAAAAACGTTTGACTATATTTTTTTTTTTATCTCAGTTATATCAGGCTTTCCGGTTTTCCGCAAATGCCCATAAACCCCGGAAATTAGTCCCCCCGAGCCGATCTTATCAAAATAGGGGAAAACTGTAAAATCCCAAATTCAAACGCCTTTGAAATAGATAAACCATTTAATTTTCACGGAAGAAAATATTTCTGTACTGCTTGGTTGTGTTGATCCGGAACACAGTCAACAATCCTTCTCCCTCCCCTTTCTCTCCCCCTCTCCCCTTCCCCCCCTCCTTTTTTTCGTGCCCTCATTTTTTTGTGCTCTTTGGTATTTTATTTTAAGCGCAGCTCTTAGGCGCCCGTTTCCGGCTTGAGTGGCGTCGCCGTCGGCGTAACCGCGCGGTGCATTATGGGTAAATTTTCCCGAAGGAACCCGAGGTCTTCCCAAAGGACCTCGGGTTCCCTCGGGAGGACCTCGGAAGAACCTCGGGTTCCTTCGGGAGGACCTCGGAGGACCTCAGGTTCCTTCGGGAGGACCTCAGGTACCTTCGGTGACTGCGGGGAGGGGGGTCACGTGACCCCTCACCCCAGGTCACGTAGCCCCCCAAGGTCACATGACTTCCCCCCGAGGTCACATGACCCCTCCCCCCGAGAACACTTGACCCTCAGTTCCCTCCCCCCCCCCCCTCCTCAAGAGCTGCGCTCTAATTCGGCGTTACAGGGAGTTGTAAACGGCTTTCATTTTTATGTAGTGATTAAATCTACTTCCGTTTGGGTTGCATCCTGCCTGCAGTATTATAAATCAAAATCTACATTAATATAGCCAATAGCCCCATTGCTAAATTACAAAAGCATCAAGGAGAATGCAGGGATTGGTGTTCCAAGCGCCGCGCGTTCTGGCCTCAGCAGTAGTAACGTTTCTAAAGCAAATGCCTAAAACAAATGTCATCTTGCGCGCGCGTTCGTCAACGCTTTATTTTGGTTATTTACTTGGATTCTTTTATACGGGAAAGGCGTGCACGTTTGGCACATTGAACACCAATTCCTGCATTTTCTTTGATGCTTGGGTAATTTAACAATAAGTCTATCGCCGATGATGTGATATGGCTACCTTTGGACCATCACACACCTGTCCTGCTGCTTGGTGTATGTACGTGCCTGGGATAACAAGCTTTTGACAGAGTTTATTTTCATTAGTGCTGCTCTGTTCAGATGCAGGTGTTTCACAGCATTCCACTCAATGTATTGGAGCAGTGTTGCTGTGTTCAGATGCGGGTGTTTCACAACATTCCATTCAATGTATTGGAGCTTATTTTATCCTTGGATAATGGCATTGGCCATTTACATGCATACTAGGAAATTTTCATGATTACTTTGTGAACAACTATAACGCATTCATTCCCTGAACACATTTTCGTTTTCCGCCAAAAAAAAGAAAAGAAAGCCGTGGTTCCAAATGTTACTAAAATTGAACATCTTGGCAAAAAAACATGTCAGGTGGTTCGATGCCCAGAAATTTGCCCAAACTACCGGTTACTGTGTCAAAGTGTGCCTTGTATTTGTGTTATGATGGTTGGTTTCTAATACATAATGTGATCTATTTCTGGCTCCAACAGTTCTCTGTACACTTCTATAATCTGAAATATCACAGGGAAATTGATTGTACTCGAGTTATGCACGAGCGTTAGGCTAGAACTCTTGTCCCTAATAATACGAGTCTCAGTCTATAGCTGGTGAAGCTCTGGTGTCTAGTCTAAACCCCCGTGCTGGCCTCCAGTATACGTTATATAGAGAATCTAGCACTACAACCTTGTTCTATAGAAAGTGTTGAGCGTGTGTGTTTGTACAGATAGTAAGAGAGTCTACAAGAAATGAAAGGAAAAAGAATATAAGCACCTTCTTCGGGGCAAATGAGGACTTAGAACAGGTCCAAATTAAGCTGGGGCATGCAACCACAAAGGATGCAAACTATAGATGCCACTGCCCTTGGAGCATGAGCTTTGGCAGGGGCATAATTTTCACACTGAGACATAAATTGCGTGACAAGTTCATCTGTGCAACGTCACTTCAAAATAACAGTCAACATGTTTAGTGTTCCCACCGACTTTGTCACTATAGTGGAAAAGGGGCAAAGTGCTTTTCTTTGTCTAATAACATGCATGGATATGTCTTTTTGTGTAGGTGATAAAGGTACACGCTTGACAGGGATCAGCTGCCTACCGGAACCCACGACGGACATCCTCTTCAAATGCTGTTTCTGCACCCACGTCACCGGAGATCAGCGTGAAATCCTCAGTCACCTGACGGTCCATGGTGATGAACAGCTCAAGTGCCAGCACTGTCCAAAGTCCTTTTATAGAGTGGAGGGCTTGAGACACCATTCTGAAATTCCCAAGTCGGAAATAACTTTCGAGTGTAAACGATGTCCAGCAGCATACCAGAAATATGCTCATCTAGTAAATCACATCCGAATCCATGCGGTTGAAAAACCCTTCAAATGTAAGGAATGTCCGCTAGCATTTTCTTAAAGTAGCCGCCTATCCTATCATATCCAAGCCCACACAGGTGAAAAACCTTACAAATTCCAGGAATGCCCCAAATCATTTGCTCGTAGTAGTGCCTTGGCTGCCCTCATGTGAACTCACACCAGTGAGAAACCTTACAGATGCCAAGAATGTCCCAAAGTGTTTTCTCGAAGTAGTTATCTGAGTATACTACATTCAAAGCCGCAGAAGTGCCCCCAAGTCTTTAGTCAGTGTGAGAGGCAGAATTAACACATTCAAATGCACACGGGAAAGGGACCTTACAGATGTGATCATCTCCCCAAAACTTTATTCAGAGCGATATTGCTGACACAGCAGATTAGAACACACACAGGGTTTACAAATGTGAGCTATGTCCGGTCTCCAAGTTTTTAGTGTTTAGTGTACTTAAGTGCGCGACCCGCCACATTCGAACTCATACAGGTAAGAGACCTGACAAATGCGAGAAATGTCCCCAAGCCTTTAGGGTGCATGGAAATCTGACCCAGCACATTTGAACGCATACGGGCGAAAAACCTTAAAAATACGAGCTATGTCCCCAAGCCTTTAGTGTGCGTGCGAACTTGACCCGCCACTATCGTATTCACACGGGCGAGCGACCTTACAAGTGTGAGCAATGTCTCAAATCCTTTGGCCGAGGCACGCGAGACACAGTAAAAATGGTATGTCCATAACTAGCTTGGGTCAACGTACTCAAGCAAAGTAAGAAGATTTGTACAAAAATTTGCACGAAAAATTATTTTGAAATCACTGCAGTCACCGAAATGTGTTAGATTTTAGCGCAGGGATTCGTTGTCTTCGGAGAGTAAGTAGTTTCGGATGCAGCCACCACAGTGCGCGTCAACAGCGGTGCATCATTGGAAGTGCGAAAGACTCTTGGATAACTTGACCCACCACATTCAAACACATACGGGCGAGAAACTTTACAGGTGCGAGCAATGTCCCAAAGCCTTTAGTGAGAAGGGAAACCGGAGGCAGCACACTCGAATACATAAGGCGCTGTGGAAATGGTATGTTCCAATACTTGTCCAAGTCAGCCGGCCCGAGCAGAGTAATGAGATTTGTAGAAATATGATTTAGAAAAAAGCAGCCAGGGAATAGGCTTCGCAGGTGTCAGCAGTCACACTTCCACTGTGGTTGGACAACATCTTACCTGTGTTGATAGTTCGCACAAGCTTTCTTAACGGTGCTGCTTACTAGACACTTGAAGCGTATGTGTGTGCGGAGCAGAGGTGCATCTAGAGCAACTAATTGCCTTGTCCTGAATTAAGGCAAATGGCCAATAGCCTTCACTGTCATTTTAATAAAGCTTGGTGAGCTCTGGAAATGAGCTAGTCCCTCTTGAAATATGTTTAGAATATGCTTGCACTGGCTGCCTATGCTTTCTATTAGAGTTCTTGTGCAAATCATTTTGAAAAACCTGTTTTCAGCTGCGACCTTGTTACTTTCATTTATATCCATGGCTTTTCTCATTTGCTTGAAAGTGTTGCAGATAATAAATAAGTGTCCAAACTCAGCTTTTCTTATTTATTGCCTTGCCTACTGTGCCATATTTGGACCATTACCATCATCGACCGGCAATGATATGCTGTTTGTTGCACAGCTGGACCAACATCGATTCAAACCCTTTTGAAAATTCTCATTTGTATGAGAAATTTCTGTGTCCAATAAACACATATGAATCATACAAGATATATAAGAACATATAAAAACGTATAAGAACCATATAAGAACTATATAAGATATATGAGAACATACAAGCACCATATAAGAAACTAGTGGGAAGTTTCTTATAAGTTTCTTATGGGTTCTTATATATCTTATATAATTCTTATATAGTTCTCATATAATTCTTATATGGTTCTTATATGTTCTTATATATCTTGTATGATTCATATGTGTTTATTGGACACAGGAAATTTCTCATACAAATGATTTTTTTTACTAGGGAAGTTGCTGGTTAACTTTTAGTAGGATAATTGGGGAATGATGATCGTAGCAGGTAGGGATGTGGGCAATGAATTCTCAATCACTAGTGATTCTTCATAACATTAAAACATGAAGCTGTGAAAGTAGGCACAAAGGCTTACTGAAGTCAATGATAAGCCCCTGTAGACGACTTGAGATATATGCGGGTGTTGCCACTGCTCTCTTATTCATAAACTGTCGCCCTCGATCCTTACGGCAAAATAGTTCTGTGTGGAGAACTAATTGTGGATGCTAAACGTTTTCTTGTATAGTCGCCGACAAGGTGAGAACAGCGTTGAGGGGTGTCGGTTGTCCCGCCTCCAGCGCAAGCTTCCTATTTTCGACAAAGCTTGAGTGTGTTGTGCACCTGGAGCGCACATGTGCAGCTAAAGCACAGTGAGAGGCATGGTGGACGAGCATCCAAAATACTCGCCCTGCGTCGTATTTTGCTCTGTCTGCGTCTATATAGTCTTTTACAGGTTAGGAATAACAGGACAAGCCCACAAAGTTTTCTGCTTGCCATGGTTGGTTGTTTCGTCCTCTCCAGTGTTTTCTGTGCTAACGTGGAAAGAGCAAAAGCGCCAACTTTTTGTCGAAAGACACTTCATCGAATGGTCGGTCACCGCGAAGCGGCGTTTACGGGTGGGCCAGGTGGGTTAACATGTAAATTCGTAATGAGCCGTTGCATGTTTTCTCCGCGAAGCGGCGTGAACGCAAAGGGGTGGGTGGGTTAACAAGCGCCGCGGTGATTCGCTAAAACATCTATTCGCTCAAATGACCGCTGTTCGGTAGAAGTAATTCGTTCTTGTGGACCCGCTGCTCTCTGTTCTTCCATCTGGTGTGAATGAAAACAAAATCTTCTATTCTTTTGTTCGTTTTTTTTTTTTGTGTGTGTGTGTATTTGAGCTTGGGGAAACCTGGCTAGATTAATGCGTCGGTCCACCGTCGAAACATTGGCCTTCGGTATACATAGGAGACGAGATATAAAACCACATCGCATATTCTAAACAACTTACGCAAGCGTGACAGAATGAATGTCCCAAACCTGACGAAACGAACTGTATTTAGTTCATTAGGATGCACCGACAGCCTTCACCTTTCACAGAATGCGTACTGTCTAGTCCAGCGGTTCTCGACCATTGATGTTTCGTGAGCAGGGACTCCGGAAGTAGATTTTAAGGGGGGGGGGGGGGGGGGGGGGGGCTGAACTCAAGCATTCTGTTGTTATATATTTTATTATAAGAGAGAAGGGCTGGAGCCGAATTTGTTATTTTATTTTTACTTATTGTTTATTAAAAAAATAAAATATTTGCATGAAGTCCCTTACTAAGCATGTGCAATCACTTTTCCTTCCTGCTTTAAAGCAACAGTAGGGAGTTTTGGTGGCTCGTACGCAAGAGCCTTGCGTGATTGCGGGTCGAAAATGCACACGCGTAGAACGCAATATATTGCGTTTTGCACATGCACCTTCCGATCCTCAAAGCCTTTACGTACGATCCACTAAAACTATATAATATCGCGAAAACGCTTATGCATAGTGCTTCAGACAATTTCAAAGTCCCTACAAGGATACACAGCATTGCAAAATTGAGTTTGTAGAGAGTCACGTTTATTATTATTCAAATGTTCATCCAAAAAGACATCCATGCCATGAAACAAACGAGTAAGCCAAGCGAATTATATACTGTAAACGACTTATTTTTCGTGGATTCAATATTTCGCGATTCGGGTCAAAACTGAAGTTTTGGAGGGAGACGACGACGACGACGCACCTAAACGGATGCTTGATTCCCTACCTCTGCAAGTAAACCAATTTTTTACTATTATTTTGGTAATTTAAACTACAACCCCCCTGGGAGCGTTCGCAAAACCTCTTGGGCAGTCACCCTGAACGAAGCCCGTACTCCGAGCGACGCAACCATGAGCGAATCCACCCCCGGCTCTGAGAGCTTCGATGACAACGATATAGATGACGCAGAAAAAGAGGGTTCCGGCTGGACCCTCAACTGTAGGAAGCGACGCCACCTCTCCGGGGGCTCTGCTTCAAGTCAAGCCACCATCATTGATGCCCATCGCGAGAACCGGACGGTCATCGTCAAACCCCAAGACCCGACAAAGCTCATCGCGAAGCTTAACCCTCTAACCCTATCTCAAGAGCTAGATTCCATCACACCCCATGGAGTGATTCAAATTCGACCGAACTACAGACTGAACCTCCTTGCAATTGACATGCGGGACAACAGCTCCATGCAAACGATCCTTACTTTAACAATCCTATTAGGGATCAAAGTCCAGACCTACGAAGCTCACCCACGATCCTCGGCCGTAGGAATCATTCGTGACGTAGACAAGGACATCACAGAAAGCGACCTCAAAAAGGCTATAAGCGCAACTACGCCAGTCATCCTAGTCAAAAGGCTAGGCGCTTCAGAAACGGTGAAACTTGTCTTTGCAACCGAGACCATGCCAGAACACGTCGTAGTGGGGCATATACGCTTCAGAGTACTGCAGTACACCGACAAACCACGACAGTGCCACAAATGTCGGCGGTTCGGGCACATTCAGACCGCATGCCCCCATGTGCAACGTTGCAGCCGCTGTGGCGGCGCTCACGACCGCATCGACTGTCAAGCCGACCAACCTAGGTGCGTCAACTGCAAAAGAAAGCATGAGGCGACCTCTCGAAGCTGTCCCTTTTATAAAACGGAAGCAGCTGTATCGAGCTATCGTCAAACCCACAAGGTCAGCTACCCACTAGCGAAGTCCGCTGTCCTCTCCGACAACAAGAACAAAACTGCTGGAACTCTGAATCCATCTTCCAGGAACAGCCAAAACGAGAAAGTGGAGGATGCTATGATGCCGCCACTAGACGACGATCACTTTCCTGCTCTTCCACGTCAGCCAGCTGCGTCCACATCCGCATCAACTAGCGTTGGACCCGAAACATCACCGCGGCAACGCCAGGACAACTTTGCCAGGGCGATAAACACTTCTGCTCAAAGGGCTAGCGACACAACGAACCGATCTCGTACCCAAAGCTCCGACAATAATACCGAGTCTCAAGGACTTGGATCCGCGGTGTACACCCTTGCGACGCTACTACGTACCTTTCTGGCCACACTGGAGCACCCGCTCGCACGAGCAGGCATTACCCTAATTGACTTCGTATTACCTCTCATCCACTCTTGGATCAAGTAGACTCAGGCAACTGCCAGAGCCTTAACAGATATTAATACCAACACCACGCTTGATACTCGAACGATTCCCAAAAAACGATCACAAACCCCAAAAAGCCTTAAAAAACTTCCATCTATCATCCAATGGAATACCAATTCGTTCCACCGTCGCCTGCCAGAGCTTCGTCGCAGACTCATTGAACTTAAAACAGACGTACTTGCTCTGCAGGAGACA